CCTTCCCCACCTCCCTGCCGATTTCCGCCATCCCACTTTGCGTCGGCCTAACATTTAGAATCTCGGGAATATTTAAGAGTTCGGGTCTCGGGTCTCGCTCGAGGTGGAGGCGGCGGAGGCTTTCCTGTGTGCATCCTTTGATGCTCGATCCCAGCCGTCGACTTCCATCAGCCACGATCATCCTTACTGAACGTCCACCATGGAGCAGCAGCTGCCGAGGTAGAAGTCGTGCGCAATGCCACCCAAGAAGCTCTCCATCGCTCGCATTCGTGCCGAAAGCACGCTGCGCAGCGACGACCCGGACCTCAACCGTCGACGTCCCTCGCCATCCTCCAGCAACAGCAGAGCCAGCCAGCGCTATCGCTCCGCAGCAGCATCCGCATCCTCAGCAGGACGAAGCAATGCGCGCGCCAGCTCGTCCCGATCCAGGCGCCCTCCGCAGCCCAAGCTCAGCGCGCGCATCCTCCAGATCCACGACGACGACATCCAAGAGACGCGCGTGCAGAACAGGTTTGCGCCCGATCCACGCACCCAGCGCCAAAACGTATCGTATCGTCCGCTCTCGCTCACAAAGCAGGCGCAGCGCGATGGCGCTGCATTTCAGCTGCCGACGCTCGCGAGCATGTGCTCCACCGTCATAGCCACCTGCTTCGACGCCCTCCTCCCCTCCCGAAACAACTTTGACGCGGCTGCAGGCGCGACAACCCCACGCAGCGCCATCCGTAACGCGCATACGCAAACCAAGGTGGCGGCGGGACGCAAGCGATCACGTGCAAGAGCGTTTGGTGCGGCTCCTGACTCGGACGACGACCAGCAGGACTACGTCCCCAGCGACGCAGAAGACGACGCGGCTCCAGCGGGGTCCAGATCGACCCGAAGCCGCGGTCGCTCTTCAAATGCGCAGACTGCAGCCGACGGTGGAACGAGCCGATTGCTTGCAGGTTGGACCACGTCTGAGCTGCACTATCTTACGCGGCGGACGTCCGAGCAGCTCAAGATGCTGTCGGCCCCAGCGTCGTTTCTGCTCTTCCGAGCGCTGGTTGAGCATGCGCCGCAGT